GACTATATATATATTATATATATTATATATATTATATATATATATATATTATATATAATTTATACCTTGTTTTGATGCTGAGATTATATACACATAGGCCAAATTTGTTTGAAGGCGCATTTTATACCTGTATAAAGTACAATTAAATAACATTAAATTATTGAAATTTAGGTATTATAAAATATAGGTAGTATAAATTTACATATATATTCAATTCTTCATTTGGCTATTTATTGGTGACAATCAATATAAATACGAATCAGCTCAAAATTGACTTCAAGATTATAGGTAAATTGAATCAAACGGAAGTTATAAGAGAGATTTTATAAATATGATTCAATAAGACTCCTTCTCAGTGCCCAATATTTTGGCATATCTATTAATTTCGGGTGGATCATTCTGATCTTTAAAGACAGAATATTTATTAAAAAATTAAATTCAATTAGATATAAAAAAATGAAATATGTACTGTTTGCACGCATTTGTAAGTATAATCAACTGAATTATTGCAGTTACAATAATTTAAAAATCGATTAGTTTTACTATGAATTTAGAAAATACTAAGTCGCAAAATTACCAAAATTTTACCGGTTTCAGGTGCTCTATTATTGTTTAGATTATTATTGCCAGTTTCACTTATATTAGTGGAAGGTATGTTAGCAGGTGTGCTTATATTGCCATGTGTTTTGTGTTTTACACTTGTATTTCTTATACTTGAGCCAACAACTGGAGTATTTTGTGTTGGCATGAGGTTACCGTTCGTTTTTAATCCTGGAGTAATATAAAATGGCTTTAGAAAATATTTTAGTAACTATAAGCATTTTAAATACAGACTAGCAAGTAATAACATATGATCCTACCAATCTTTTATAATATATTGATTATCCCAGTTTCATTGAATGTTTTCTACCGTTATGTAACTAAGTAATTAATATATATTTTCACTTAGCTTACATAATAGAGGTGCTGTATTATTAAAAAATTCAAATAAACAAAAGAGACACTACTTGCAATATAAGCATTAGTTCCTTCCCGTAA